TTACCAGGGTGAGGGAAGAGAGCAGCTTACATCACTCGCTCTGCCTCCTCGACCCTTCACTGTGCAATTCTGGAACATTTCATTTAAGGTCCCGGCCAGTGGTCCCTGTAAATCTGTTTCATTCGTGTGCAGGAAAAATTTTGTTCTGTGCACCAAGGGTTGTGCAGGTGTGCGCCACCAGTAGAAACACACGCTGCCAGCTGTGGGTGCACTGCTGATGAACTGGGTGGTTGCCCAAGTGCTCAGCTCCCAGGGAACACTCGTCCTGGTGCACCTAATTGTGGGTCAGCACCCTTTGTTTCGGCTCCCACTGCCAGGGGAGCAGGGTAGATGCAGATGACTTAATGTAAGAGGGCAGGGAGCCTGTTTCCCACCCTCCCCCCCAATGCTCTTTCACACAGTGATCTCTGGGTCTTAATTGAACCCTGCTTCACTGAGCCTTCTCCTGCACACAAATTACTTGCTGGGGGTTAAACAAAGCAGGGTTTGAAAGAGTTCCGAGACAGAAGGTCACCTGCCATTCCCCCATCCTGTCCTAGGCTCGACATGGGGTAAAGGGAAATTGCTGTAACTGCAGGGGGAAGTTTAGAACATGCCCTTCCTGGCTGTAAGCCATGCCAAGCAGTGCACCTCCAAGTTCTCTCAAAATAATCCCAGCGCTACAGGCATCCCGGCAGTGAGACGCACAGAATAGGTGCGGTACGTTAAATCACAGTCCGTGAGGCTGGAATCTCCATTGTATGATTAACCCCTGGGGAAGTCCCATGTGCTCTACAAGCGCTACCACAGGACTTGGCTGCCTGTAAATCACAGGGCACGATGCTCTGAAGTGAGGAGCCAATACAAGCGAACGCAGCCCCTGGCAAGAGCTGCAGTTATTCAAGCAGACGCATCAGTTGTCAGACCTCTAGGAACCACTGGCAGAACCAATAGAAACAGTGCCACAGGCAGCAGTTTCTGAGCCAGGACACCCACCGCCTTCTTGACTCCCCGCTGCAGGGCAGGACGTTATACAGGGGGACTCATAAGGCAGGTGGCCCCAAGCGACCCCTTCCCCTTGGTGGAGTGTCTCCCTAGAGCATCTCCCCTTCTCTAGTCCTCAGCACCCGATGCCACGTCTGTAATCACGGCTCTGGCAGTGGTTAGTCATCTGTGGTTGCAGCTTCAAGACGAGCGGAGTCCTTGTGTAACAAAGTCCAGCTCCACGGATGCCAGCTCTGATTTTCGCCCCATGCACCTTGCCAGGGAACAGGCATGTTGGGCAATCTGTGGGAAAGGTCACTGCACTTTGGACTGGGGATTCAGGGCCCAATGTCTAACTCACCTGTGGAATCGCAGCAAAAGTGACGTTTTACTGTCACTTATTTTGAGTCTTAAAGGGACAGCATGGCCCCCTGGGTTAGGACTCTAACTAAGACTTGGGAGGTTCAATTGCCCATTATGCTACAGACTTGTGTGCGCCCTTGGGCGAGTCACTTAGTCTCAACGTGCCTCAGTTTCCCCATCTGGGACGTGGTACTTCCCCTCCTCACAGCGGTGCGGACGATTAACGATTGAGGTGCTGTACCGAATGCTCGTTTCCATTAGATACAAACTAGCGCCCTGGTAGGAGGCAGCTATATAAAGAGGCACACAAGGCCACATTAAAGGCACATGGAGTTTAACCCCAAGCAGGTTCTAAACTGACTGAAGTGCTGGAAGGATCAAAGTCACTTTTGAAATGCTAGGTCCTGAGCACAGAAATTGGGAAATCCCTCCAGAGCTAAGCAGAATGGACATGAGCTGAAACAAAGAAGTTATGCTAACAAAACTAGTCCCGCACCCACCTAACACCCGATGGTAGGCATGGTGGACTGTTCCATTGCCCGAATGCAGCATTCCCAACACGCCAACGACCTCAAATATCCTTATAGCAAGGACCAACAAAGCATCAGCTAGAAAAACCTGGGAAGTATTGCAGACCTAGGTGCTCTAGATGGGACATCTCAGAGAAACAAAACAAGCTGCACACGAGGGACTAAAAGCAGTTGTTCTTTGCTCAAACCCTCCAGGGGTCACCTACTAATGTTTATTGTCAAGAAGGTCAAAGGGCACTGAAGTTTGAGAACCACTCATGGCCTTGATCAAAAGAATATGGACAGAAGAATCTTTTCCTATCTAATTGACCCAGGAGCTGCCCAAGTACTGTGTGTGACAGAGTGAATCACAGAAATCCCCACAGGGTTGTCCCACAGCGTGCTGACACCCTCCTTCCTGCTCTATGCGGCTCCCCACCACCCTTTTCTGTCTTCCCTTGACAAGGTGCAAAGTTGGGGTTACCACCCCCAGCAAAGCAACACAGACACGGAACAACTTCAGTTCCGGGAGGACTCGGCACCCAGGAAACCAACCCCCAAAAGGGACTAAAACCCCAGATAAATCTGTCTTGCCCTTTGTCAAAGTTTTCCACAGAGAAAGCTGACAAAGGTCAGCTGTCTTAATCAAAGAGAGATGCACAGTGGTTGCTTCCCTCCTGCCAGGTAACAATTATTTACAC